CGGCCGGTACGCTCCCACAGAGTGGGTCTCCTCAGGGTGCCGTCAGCCAGACAGTGCCGGCTGGCGACCCCCAGGGGGAGGGCCTTCTCGGTGGGAGCCCCCACCCTCTGGAACGAACTACCCCCAGAGATCCGGGTGATCCCGGATCTCCCCTCCTTCCGCCACGCCCTAAAGACATGGCTTTTTCAACAAGCGGGTCGGGCCTAGGGATTTTTAGCGGGGTTTTTTAAGAGTATTTTAAGGATAATTTTAATGATCGGCCTTCTTAAATATTTCCTTTAATTCGGTTTTTAATATAGATATCATTGTATTTGTATTGTGGTTTTTATGAGGCTGTTAGCCACCCTGAGTCCCATGAGGAGAAGGGCGGGGTACAAATTAAATTAATAAATAAAATAAATAAATTAAATTAATAAATAAAAATAAATAAATAAATAAAATTCATATGATTGCTGATAAAACTAGTGGAGAGACATCCTGGCCTCATTTATTTGAGAATAGGAAATGTTATAAAGAAATTAAAAAAAAGAATCAGCAAAGCCAGATTTTCCAGTAATCCCAAAAAAAGAACAGAAGTTGTGATCTCAACAGTGTATGCACCCTTAATGTGCATAGGAAAGTCAAAGGCTCTGGAGACTATTAGGAATTTATCAGCCTGGATGCTCTACATGGAAACATAACAAGGAAAGGAAATAAATTCAAATGTTACTCCTGTACATATTTTAATTCTGTGATCTGTATGGTATATGGCACCATTTGTCCCAGAGGAAACTTGACATTAAAGACACCAAAGATATATATGCATATCAAATGAGCAGTCACAGATCTTCGGCAATCAAGAAGAGATGCAGCACTTTAAAATTATAAAATCTTTACAGATTATCAATTTGACTTCAGTGTAGATTGCTTGCCAGGAGTTTCTAGAAGAAAGGCATGAATAGGTAAGTTTTCTAAGAAAAGGAAGCATGTTTCTTTCCTAAAAAGAAAGAAAACCTGACAAAGTGTTGTATTAAAATAAATTGATTGCTGTTTGTCTTTACTCCTCTGAAATTGGTCAAAGCAGAATCCCATCTAATTCATTCTGTGTAATTTTCAGGGAATTGTTCAGATAGCAAAGGATAAGACATGGTTAAATATTCCACAGAGTTATAACTGTAGAGCTGTTTTTCACAATACAATGCCCTCTAAATAGGTTTTATTGAAAATTCTCTTAATTCTTCATCAAATTGTGGGAGCTTTTGTAAAGGACACTTGTTGGGGACATAGTATAGGGAATATTGAAATAGGATTTTTTTTAATTTTCTTTGACTTCTGTAGTTTATTTTGCTACACATTGAAATTAGCTGACTAAGTTTTTGTTAGTGTTTATTCTGTCATAAATTCCTTGGGAATGAAATACAGGATTTTTGTGCCAAATAAAGTTAATGGTAGAATGTATTTTCATTCTTACCTATGGCTTGTATTTTGCATTAATGGTGCAGAGCAAAAATGCACAAATACATTCTGGTTGTAGAGCTAAATTTATTAAAATTACTGATGTATTTCAGTCTCTCTCTCTCTCTCTCTCTCTCTCTCTCTCTCTCTCTCTCTCTCTCTCTCTCTCTCTCTCTCTCTCTCTCTCATATTATTATTACAAGGAACAATTTCCTGACCGTATATGGAAAAAGTGACCAGCAACCCTAAAATCTTTCCTTCAATAACATTGTATTGTTGTGGTCTTTAGTGGTCAAAATAAATATATTTTGAAACTGCATTGCTGAAAAATATATATCCAAAAATCTGTATATGTTGCAATTTCATGTGGCATATTGCTGTTCAAATGATTAATCAGCTTTGACAAACTTTTATCAAGTGTTTTCAGCTCTGAATTCCAATCTCCACTTGCCTTATCCTGCACATAAACATTCCTAATTGCATCATATTCTTAATATCTGATAGTTTTGATGCAAGTTCTACGTTGATTATTATCCTAGTCTGCTACTTCCATTTCAGCTCAGCTATCCTGAAGTTGAACTCAGCAGATACAAAGAGGAAAATTTTCCCTATCTGCAGTTCTCACCTTATAGTTGTGGATTTGTGTTATGGCACTTCCTAGTTTACATATATCAGCCTCCTCAATTATTGTGGATGAATACTTCTCTATTTTTTTCTCTCACAGATCCCAACTAATACACATTTTGAAAGTAATACAACTTCAAAAAAATATCTAAAGGATAAATGAGTATTTTTGTCTCTCCCTTTTGTATAGGTTTGAAAACAGAGAATGTGTTGGCCCTCATATACTGTGTTAAAGTTTCTCTCATATATTTTTTCCTTGATATTCTTTCCCCACCCATCTAATTGTGCAATGCATTGTATTATGTAATGGAAATATTATTTTCTCTTTTTGTTTTGAAGTTTCTACAGTGTGTGAAAGGAAATGGAAAATCAGAACACCACAGTCACTTTTTTTGTCCTTTTGGGATTTTCGTACATTTATCCAGTCAATATTTTCCTTTTCTTGGCATTTTTCCTGATGTATGCTTTGACTTTATTGGGAAATGTTATGATTATGGTAGTAACAAATTATCTCCCCAGCCCCATGTATTTTTTTCTAGCTCATCTGGCTTTTCTTGACATGTGTTTATCTTCTGTTATTGTGCCCAAGCTGCTGGTGATTTTCTGGGCAAAAAAGAATATTTCATATTCTGACTGCTTTATTCAGATATTCATTGTCTTTCTTACAGGAGGCACTGAAGATTGTGTCCTTGCTGCAATGGCTTATGACCGATATGCTGCCATTTGCAAGCCCCTCCATTATATACAAATTATGAATAAATCATTTTGTAAGTGCCTGGTGGGTGGAGCATGGGCAGTTGGCTTCTTATGTACTTTTGTAAATGTATTACCTATTTTGAAGCTAGATTTCTGTGGACCAAATTTTATCAAGGATTTCAGCTGTGAATTTCCATCTGTACTTGCATTATCCTGCACAGAAACATCCTCCATTTGGATGGCATTTCTGATATCAGGTAGTTTTGTTGCAAGTTTTTCATTGATTATCATCCTAGTCTCCTACATCCATATCATCTCAACTATCCTCAAGATGAATTCAGAAGAAGCAAAAAGGAAAACTTTCTCTACCTGTAGTTCTCACCTTATTGTTGTGGTTTTGTATTATGGCACTGCCTGCTTTAGAAACATGAGGCCCAGCTCAGCCTCCTCAATTATTGTGGATGAATTCTTTTCTATTCAATACAAGATTTCAACACCTATGCTGAACCCCTTTATCTACAGCCTGAAAAATAGAGAAGTGAAGGAAATAATAAAAAAACTAATGGGCTATAAACCGTTGATTCCTTCTTCTTTGTAAACTGGTTTAATGTTGGATTAATTGACCATTCCCTGAGAATTTAATTGAGAAACAAATGTATTATTTTGGAAATGTATTTAAAGACATCTAGTTTGGCATATGTGGAATATATTGGTTGAATTCAAGACAAGGGAAATTAATTTGTAAAGTTTAGTAGGCTTACACTTAGTGAAAAACATTAAATCAGACAATATGTATTAGAAGATGTTTTTCCCCTAAAGCCTTGTCCCTATATCAACTTATGAAGCATATACATAAGTAGTATACAACAGGGTTTCTCAGAATCTGTGATTATATGACATCCTAAAGTAACAAATGAATTTGTGTGACCATTCATAAGAATAGTGATATTGATGAGGATGATCATGATAACTGGTAGGAGAACAAAACTTTTTGTATTTATGTGCAGACTTTTGTGTGGGAAATTTCTATGCAACCTAATAAATAGTGAACATATGTTGCAATAAAACTTTTATTTATTTACCTGCACTCATATTTTGTTTCTTCATCTCCTCTTCACTTCATTAATCTGACACTGCTGTTATGAAATATGCTACTAAAGCATGCAGTAACTCCTAGGGAAGCCCACTGGCCTTTGATGACAGAACAAGGATTATTTTGCTTTTTTACTGTGGTAGGCATCACCTGCTAAGTTCAACTGTTTTTAAGGGGCATGCAGAAGGGAAGCTGGGTTTTCCAACTTTTTGTGTGAGTCCAAAAGGTGTCTGCTTCTCCTGAGTAATAACATCTGTCGCACAATGGCTAATAAAATAGTGGATATTATTTTTATCAGCAAATACATAATGTGCTGAACTTGGTGCTACATTTTCTTCCTGACTCTGAGGACATGCCTCTATTTGGGCAGATCCTGGCAGATCTCTTTGTCCGTAGGAGGTCACATGCAGAGGGGGCTTCTACATGGCTTGGGACTGGGTTAGCTAAGGGATTGTCTTTTATCAAAAGTTGTTACCCATCTGATCAGATTCAACAGATTTAGCATGCTGCAGTTCCCATCAGCCAAAGAGTACCAACTGTTGCAATCCCTGCCCTATGGAATATTCTCCTCTCAGAATGTTTCCAACCCTGTTTACTTTTCACAAACCTTTAAAAACTTGGCTATCTACCTGGGTCTAGGCCTCAGAATATGTAAAGAGATCTGTTACTTGGGTTTACTATTAGTTGATTAATCATCCTGGGTACTGTTTATACTTATTTATTTTGTGTATGTTTTTATTGTTTTAATATATTTTAAGTTATTTTAACTATTTTAGAAATATAGAATTGTAAGCCCCCAGACTCACTTGGTTGAGTGGGTATCTATAGAAATTGATTGATTGAATGAATGAATGAACAAACAAATGAACAAATGAATGAATGATACACATACACACATATATATACATATACACGTATGTTTTACCATTAATTTATATATTCTGTATTTGGGATATACAAACCAAACTGTCTTTGTGGTGTATCTGGATAACTCTGCTATCTTTTGAATTTTTTTTCCATTTTTGATTAATTTGCAGGCTGCCATTTTACTATTATCTGTGCAACTCTATAATAGGTCACCATTTCAGAGATATTTCCTTATCTAAACATAAAAGCTAAATGATCAAGGGCAAAAAAGCAGTGGAAGTAGGAGAAACTTGTGCCTTCTTGTTTACTTGACCATCTCTGCCTGCCCTCCAAGGGCTGATGGGGGGAAATTGGTCTACCAGCATGGCATGGCTAAAGTGGGATCAGTTTATGTCAGGGTTCCCCGATCTCCAGGCTGTGGTGACATGGAAGTACTGAAGCTACAAATTTGCCAAATTTCAATCCTACAGGACTCATGGATCCTGGATTTTAGATATATTCTGCAAGCTTACCCATTTGAGCTATCTGGTTCAAACATTGTTGCCCTATGTTTCACCCAATTGAAAATTACAGACACAAGAGTTTTAGTAGTATCTAGATATAAATGGATACATGAAAAAATAGTTTGTAGATTGATGTACTTAACTGCACTCCATTTCAATAGTTATATTACCCCATAGGAGTTTATGTTGTTCACCAAATAATTCCTTCAATCAAGGAACTCCTTAGCCTTCCTAAAATTAGGAATCACATTATAAAATTAAGTTGAATGAATCTCCTAGTGGACAATCACTTAAATATGAGCCAGCAGTGTGCTGCAACTGCCAAAAAAGTGAACACAATGCTAGGTTGCAGTAACTGAGGGATAGAATTAAGATCATGTGAAGTGTTAATATCACTTTGCAATGTCTTGGTAAGGCCACACTTGGAATATTGCATCCAGCTTTGGTTACCACAATGTAAAAAAAAGATGTTGAGACTCTAGAAAGAGTACAGAGAAGAGCAATAAAGATGATTAGGGGACTGGAGGCTAAAACATATAAAGAATGGTTGCTGGAATTGGGTAGGTGTAAGGACCCACCTCACTTTACATCTTAAGAAGACAGAACTCTTGAAATATCTCTTCCAATAGGCATCTTTATTAAGAGAAAATGATTGCAGGCATGCTAGACAGGATCTGGGGAATTCTCTCCCATCCTTCAATGTTTTAAGTGTTCCCAAGCAGCCCCCACCCCACAGTTCTTTCGGGCGATGATCACTCATCCTTTCTTTTCCCAGATCCCAGGCATTCCCTCCCTTTTCCCTCACTGCCGGCAAAAGGGATACTTCAGAGAGAGAGAGTAGATGAAAGGCGATGGCCATATTGTTATAGTCAGTCCTCTTGATAAGAATCAACATCCAGTCACTTTGTAGTTTAATGAAGGAAGTGAGAGTCAGAAAACTCCCTTGCTTATCCTCCTCCCCTTTCGTAGTATGACAGAATCCAGAGAGAGTAAGAAATGGGTTTTTTTCAGAGTAGGTAGCTAGAAATGAAATATAATTGGATTCTGACATATGTCTAGTTTAATGAAGAGAAGGATTAGGACATGATAGCAGTGTTCCAATATGTCAGGGTTGCCACAAAGAAGAGAGAAGTATTCTTCAAAGCACCTGAGAGCAGGACAAGAAGCAACGGATGGAAGCTAGTCAAGGAGAGAAGCAATCTAAGAAAAAATGTCCTAACAGTTAGAACAATTAATCATGGAACAACTTGGCTCCAGAAGTTGTAAATGCTCCAACACTGGAAGTTTTTAAGAAGAGATTGGACAACCATTTGTCCCTTCCAACTCTATTATCATTATTGTTGTTATTATTAAGTTAAACAGTGATTTACCTTCCTCTTAGTCATTTTCTAATAGTCTCTCTGCCTTTAGGTAGTCTTTGACTTATAACCATTCATTTAATGACCATTCAAAGTTACAATGGCATTGAAAAAAATGACATATGGTCAGTTATATCACTTGTGACCATTGCAGAATCTCTGCAGTCATGTGATCAGACCTCAGGTGCTTGTTATCCTCCATGCATTTATAATGGTTATAGTGCCCCAATGTCCTGGGATTGCTATTTGCAAGCTTCTGACAAGCAAAGTCAGAGAAGCCAGATCCACTTAATGAATGCATGATTTACTTAACAACTGTAGTGATTTGCTTAACAACAACAGCAAAAAGGTCATAAAATGGGGCTGTAATCGCTTAATATTTTCTTTGCTTAGAAGCAGAAATTTTGGGTTCAGTTGTGATCCTAAGTTGACCTTATTGATACTGACTTTTCCACTTACTGTTAGAAAGCAAGATGATATCTATAATAAGACTTGACAAAGAGGATCCTTATTTGCTAATTTTAAGCTCTGGAGTTTGGTCCTTTAGAGATCTTGTTCCCCTGGGTTTATATATTATATGTTGATAAAATGTCTTTATTTTTATACCCTATTTATGGTGTATAAAATACAGTGGTTATGCATAAAATTGATAACTTATATGGAATTTGGCTATTATTTCAAGAAGCATACTACTTCTCTTGTATTTCCATTTTTTATATGTTTCCCTGTTTCCTATGCTTTTCCACTCATACTTCTGATTGTTCTCTTGAAGAGTAAATTAGTTTCAGATACATGGAATTCATCAAGGCAAGTACAATCATGCATCTGAATTACTGCATGGAGTAATTTCATTTTAGTACAAATTGTAAAGTTGGTTGAATTTATTCCAGTGATTCCCTTTTTTTAAAGTATCAAGACGTTACACAATATTTTTATATGGATGCTATTTTATGAAGTCTTTTTTAATGAAATAAAGTAATACATGCCTTTTTCTTTTTATTTAAATGGCAAAATTTAAGCTAAAATATTTTAGTTTGGTGGAGAACACGAGATTGATTAATTCTATTATTTATTTGCTTGTTTCTTGGCTCCCCAAGACCCTGTATGTTATACATAATATTACAAGGGTTAGCCAAATATTGCCACTAAAATAGAATTAGAACAGTCACATCTAACAGAGCTGAACATTTTTTTTCTGTTCAGAAATTTTCTAAAGAAAAATATAATGTAAAGTACAATTTTAAAACATAATATAATTTAATCTAAAAATCTAAACAAGGTAACAAGCAAGTAAAATATGTCCAATTTTTGCTATATTGAAATAAAAAGGGGGTTGAAAGAGGAGATTAAAAACAGTAGAAACCTACCATTTATATTTATTTGTCCTTCTACAAGCCCAAGTAAATTAAGTGCTAATATCCTAATCAATGCTCACTGAAATCAACAGAGGAAGAGGAGAAATAGATTGCAGAATTGCAGTCCATACAAATGAGTGATATAGATTGATAGATGATAAATGATGATAGATGATAGATGATAGTCAGACAGACAGACAGACAGATAGATAGGTGACAGGTGTGTGTGTGTGTGTGTGTGTGTGTGTGTGTGTGTGTGAGAGAGAGAGAGAGAGAGAGAGAGAGACAGAGAGACAGAGAGACAGACAGACAGACAGACAGACAGACAGACAGACAGACAGACAGACAAAAACTAGGATGCTTGCATTCAGATTCTCTTCTCCATTATCATCTTCTTTCCCATTTACTGCTTTAAAGTGAGTGCATCATACCCAGAATTATTTTAATATACATATATTTGTCAAAATAACTCTGTTGATCCACCCAATTTTTTTTTCTTCTTTTCAGTTCTACTGAGCAGGTCATTTGTTACTTTCCATTCTCGGACTTCTGTAAAGAGTTCTCATATTTCTAAACTGTTCGCTAGAACTGTAATCACACTGTTGACACATTAGTCACGATGAGTTTTTTTCACATATTTTCTTTTTTGAATAAAATTTAGGTTTAATTTAAAGTTAAAAGGTAGGTCTGCTAAACTAATTGTAACCTAGACCTTTTCAGGGACAAAGCATATATGTTTGATTGTTGCGCTATATAAAATAATGTAAAATAAATAACTATTGTAAGTGGAAGAGTAAATATTAAGGAAAAGAGTAACTTTCTGAAAGACATTATGATTTTTCTCATTCATACATGAATGTTCTAATAGAACACTTATAGTAATTCATAACTATATGATTTTTTCTCCCTATAGTATAAAATAGTAATCTAAACTGATGTTCAGCATCTGATTTTTGTTTTATTTTTATTAGATCAGATCCCAAATATTATCCATCATTTTCTGTTTCCATAGCTTTAGTCTGATTTGATGTCTGCTATGAATTCATAGAATAAAATATAGCAATGCTTTGTTTGCTCCTTGAATTTTTTTTCTTTAAATATTTTAAATGAGCTATATAAGCAATAATGTATAGGTTATACAAATAGGTTAAGACCAAAACCAATATGCTTCATTGAAGGCTCTTAGCAGATAACAACATGCTATGTGAATGTGGAGCCACATAGAGCCTGGTCCATCTACTGGTATGTCAGCTATTACCAGAAACATGTACCCATAATGACTTATTTTTGGCCAACAACAAAGCCAAGAAGGTAGTTTCATTTTGGCAGTTAAAAGTTTCATCTAGACATAGAAGAAGAAGAAGAAGAAGAAGAAGAAGAAGAAGAAGAAGAAGAAGAAGAAGAAGAAGAAGAAGAAGAAGAAGAAGAAGAAGAAGAAGGAGGAGGAGGAGGAGGAGGAGNACATGTACCCATAATGACTTATTTTTGGCCAACAACAAAGCCAAGAAGGTAGTTTCATTTTGGCAGTTAAAAGTTTCATCTAGACATAGAAGAAGAAGAAGAAGAAGAAGAAGAAGAAGAAGAAGAAGAAGAAGAAGAAGAAGAAGAAGAAGAAGAAGAAGAAGAAGAAGAAGAAGAAGGAGGAGGAGGAGGAGGAGGAGGAGGAGGAGGAGGAGGAGGAGGAGATGTAATGCCATGTATGCCTATTTCTTTTGTTTCATTTTATCACTGAACTGTTTCACTTGTATAGTTTTCTGATTCTATTTTTTTCTGGTATAAACATCTTATGAACTATCATAGTATTACAAAAAAGAAAAACCATTCACCCTTTTTTTTAAAAAAAAAAATTGTTTCCACAGAAGCAGCAGCAGTCCTAAGATGGAATTTTCCAATTATACTACAGTGACTGAGTTTGTTATCGCAGGATTCTCCAGCCTGCAAAAGACCAGAATTCCATTATTTGTACTCATTCTAATCATGTACATATTAACAATAATAGGAAATACAGTCATAGTCTTCATCACTAGTTATGAGCCTTCTCTCAGCACCCCAATGTACTTCTTCTTGAGAAACTTTTCCTTTCTAGAGATCTGTTTTACTACAGTTACAGTCCCAACCATATTGGCTGACCTCATTAGAGAAAAGAATGTTATATCTTTCAATTGTTGTCTTACTCAGATATATTTTTTCCATGCTTTTGGTGGCATTGAGTGCCTCCTTCTGGCTGCAATGGCTTATGATAGATATGTGGCTATATGTTTTCCTCTGAGATATAATAGAATTATAAATAATATTGTCTGTACTCAACTCTGCATTTGGTCTTGGATTACTGGTTTGGTCCTACCATTAGTACCAGTTTTTCTAATATCACAGCTCAGCTATTGTGGAAGCAATATTGTAGATCATTTTTTCTGTGACATATTGCCATTGCTCAGGCTAGTTTGTAATCAGACCCAACTCAATGAAATGTTGAGTTTTTTCATCTGTTCTTTCATTCTTGTTGGATCATTCACATTAACTGCAATTTCTTATGCTGCCATCTTGATTGCTGTTCTGAATATTCATTCTTCAGATGGACGTAAAAAGGCCTTTTCCACCTTTGCCTCCCATTTAACAGTTGGTATCTTTTATGGAACCATGATGTTCATCTATGTCAGGCCCACCCGAAATTTCTCCTTCAACATGGACCAGTTGGTAGCTATGTTCTACTGTATTATCACTCCACTTTTGAATCCCATGATATATAGCCTTAGGAATAAGGAAGTTAAACAAGCCCTTAAAAGAAATGTATGCAAAAGATTGGAAGACTTATAGTCCTGAACAAGTATTCTGAAGAACATTAAGTTATACAAAAGGAACAAAAACTGTGTTGTATATACTAGGTTCTATTTGCAATTTTGTAATCACCCAATCTAGAAATAACTGTTGCCACTCTATAGGCCAGTGGTGGCAAACCTATGGCACGGGTGCCAGAGGCGGCACTCGGAGCTCTCTCTGTGAGCACATGTGCCATTGCCCCAGCCTTGCCTCCCCCCATGACCCCCTCCTCCCCAGCAGCCCCCCTGAAGGAGAGTCGCCCTCGAGCGTGGCCCACATGGAGCAGCGCAGCCAAGGATATGGCAGCCAGGCAGCGTAGACAAGACTTTGCCCTCACACCCATCATGCAGTTAATGCTGTAGAGCGCAGGCAGAGGGTGTGGCCACCATAGCGCTCCTGGGCTGCCTGGGCGATCTGTGGCAGGCCCTGGAGGCGGTGAGTGGTCCTGTAGGCAAGTGGGGTGGGGTATGGGGGGCAGAGTGGGGGCAGGCAGGGGGGTGGAGCAGGGCCGGGGCCAGTTTTTGGGCACTAAGTCTCTAAAAGGTTTGCCATCACTGCTATAGGCCCTCTTTCTGAGTAGACCAACATACAGTTGTATTCTTAGTAGCAAATATAATGAATACTTCATAGCATATTGACTACTGAAGTTAAAATTAATGAGGCATATTTAGGGTATGTTTTCTCATTAAAAAAAGGAAGAGGGAAAGAGGAGAGGAGGGAGGAGGAGGAAAATACGTAGTTTTCTGAATTCAGCTTTAAATATCAAAAATCATTTTCTAAGTGAAAAAGCAGGTTTCAATTTTAATTTGCCAAAAGTAAGAAGAAATATATTTTCATACTACTCTACGTATTTTTTCTTGTATACAAATAAAATGATAATAAATGATGAATAATAAATGATGACAGCTGTCTTTAAATTTCTTTTTATTTTATATATTTATTTATCAAATTTTTGAAACTGTCCATCTCCCTTACCAGGGGACTCTGGGAGGTGAACAAATAAAAAATAAATAAAATATGAAATATGTTTTAAAATTTAAAATTTACAATTTAAAAAAGCAAGGATAGATTATAAAGTAATATTAAATAGTAATAAAAAGATGGGGAGAAGAGCTTTCTGGGTGCTAATCAGTAGCTGCATGCTCTTCTGTGGGTTCCAAGCATTTTTTTACATCTTTCCAAAATTGCTGCCTGCCTCACCTCTGGGGAGCGAATGTTCCAAGGGTGGAGGCAATGGCAGAGGAAACTCTTTTCTTGGACCTTTCTAGTCAGAATTCTTCATCTCACGGGGTCCACAATATACCATCCCTGCCTCACAGGTGACATGGTCTAATGCAGGGGTAGGCAACCTCTGCTCTTTTATGACTCATGGACTTCAACTCCCAGAATTCCTGAGTCAGCTATGCTGACTCAGGAATTCTGGGAGTTGAAGTCCATGAATCATAAAAGAGCAGAGGTTGCCTACCCCTGATCTAATGTAATGGGATGAAAATGTTTCCATAGATAACATGGCCCCAAACAATATCATTTTCCTTAGTGAAAGGTAACTTAAAAGAGTATAATAAGGTTTGTGAAAGACAAAGCACAAACCAAAGATATATACAGGATGGATGATAGCATAGGGAGAAGAAAAATAATGATATTGTTTCTTTGCCAAGTCTCTCCATTTACATTTTCAGTGTAACATTAATATATTATGATCATGCTGGCTCATCATACTGTGTTGTTTCACTATATCTGTTGCATATTGATTGATTATGTGGTATGGAGTTTGTCACTTACATAAATTACTATCCAGAATGGATGGAAGGGAGAGTGAGATATGAAAGGCAGACAGTGATAATATCCTTATTTTATTTATTTTTGTAGAAAAAGAGAACATTTACATTGTCAATAGCCTAATTAATAACAATTTTGTTTAGGTCATATTTAAGAAGATTTTTACTGAAAAAAATTACTTAAAGTGTAGCTTTAAGCAAAACAATAGCTTGAGGTTGGTATGCTTTGGCTTTACCGAAAGAAAAAAGAAAACTAAACTAGCCAATTTATCCAGCTCTATCAAATATTTTTATAACCAATATGATTTCAAATTATATCAGGAATAATACCTCATTGTGCTTCATAATTCTAATATCTCTCCATAAGAGGAAGCAACATAATTACCATTGTGTCTACTTCTGTTAAAGCATGCTGCAAGGAGACAAAGTAACATTCCTTTGTTACTTCCATCACAGTAGTCTCCAATGGACGGGAGCTAACAGGGTTATAGTACATCTCAATAATTCCAATGGTTAATTCTGGACCTGAAGATTTGTATTTATCTTCATATCCTTAGAATAGGAATATGAAAGAATTATTCATTTATCAAACTTATGTAACACTCAACTTCTAATCCTGGGCAGCTCAAAAGTACTAAAACAAGAAAAATACAATTAACAACAACAACAACAACAACAACAACAACAATAATAATAATAATAATAATAATAATAATAATAATAATAATAATAATAATAATAATAATAATGCCATTAATACATGGGCAGTCCCAGTGATATGATACCCAGCCGGAATTATCAACTGGACTTTGGCTGAACTGGAAAATCTAGACCGGAAAACGCGTAAACTTTTGAATATGCACCACGCTGTACATCCATGAAGTGACATCAACAGGTTGTACCTGCCAAGAAAAATAGGGGGCAGAGGACTATTGCAAATCCACCAAACTGTAGAAGAAGAAAAACAAAGTTTGAATGACTTTGTGAATCAAAGCACAGAAAAACTGCTGCAGGCTGTGAAAACAGAGAGCATTATAAAAATAACAGAAACAAAGGCAGAATATAAGGAAAAACGGCTGGATGACAGATTAAATAGATGGAAAACCAAAGCTTTGCATGGACAGCATTTGAAAAACATTGAAGGAAAATGTGATAACAACTTGACATAAACATGACTTAAGATGGGAACCATCAAGAAAGAAACGGAAGGCTTAATACTGGCTGCTCAAGAACAAGCACTACAAACTAATGCCATGAAAGCGAAGATACAAAAATCCACTGACAATCTAAATTGCCGACTTTGCAATGACAAAGTTGAAACTGTTTCACATCTAACTTGTGTGAGTGCAGCAAAATCGCACAAACTGACTACAAAGCTAGACATGACCGAGTTGCTAAATTAATCCACTGGGTATTGTGTAAAAAATACGACTTGCCTGTGTCTGAAAAGTTGTGGGAACATAGGGTGGAAAAAATTGTTGAGAATGAGAGGATGAAGATCTTCTGGGACTTTCGACAGATCACCATTTGGAACACAGCATACCAGATATCGCAGTTGTAGAGAACCGAGGGTACAGCTGATTGATTTTGCTATACCAGGAGATGCCAGAGTTGGATCTAGATAAATCTAGAAATATTCCATCAAAGGAGCAATTAACAAGCATATTGATCTAGATCCAACATATCACTATGTAAGAAACCAGACCATTTGAAGGGCCAATCAACAAGGGAACCAATCAGCTGCTCAAAATTCAAATATAGCTCCTAATGAACAAACAACTGCACGACCAACTGACCACACCAGCACACAAGATGTTTATGAGATAAGGAGAATAGGACAAGAAAATCCTGCTGATGATATTACCTAGTTTAGTAATGAAACATTCAGAAATTATATTTAAAAAGCTTGGAGAACAAACCACAACCAAAATTCAGAATGTGTCTCACAGAGATCTGGATTCCTGAGAGAACTGTGAAAAACACAAAGCCCAATGGGGAGCAGTAGGTCTGGAATTGAAACCTGTGGGAGAAACCTGTATTTTAAATGCCATAGAGTCATTTCAATAGCTAATATATTACTTTACCAGTACTATGTTCTATTAGACCAAACACAACTTTCTCAGACTGTTATTCTGTTATACTTCCTTCTCAAGATTTTGTGAGGCAAGCAAGCATCTCATCTACTGACAGGCTTGAGTGTAAATGGTAAAAGCTTTCCCTGCTACAAATTAGTTCTACTTGTCATCTATAGATGCATTTTTCTTTCATTATATTGTTTCAGTAATGCATTATTATTTTATCCTTGATTAATTTACCCCTTATCGATTAGATCTCCTCAGGCATCCATTGGCATAAATGAAAATCTTTTGCTTTGCTTTATCATAGCATATTGCTTCAAAAAAAGAAAGAGTAATGTTTCTTCTGCAAAGTAAGTACTTCGTAGAAGTGAAACATGTTTAATATATCTACGTTTGATGTTTTAAACAGAGAATAATATTAGATGTCTAACTTATTTCACAATAAAATGGAACAAATGCAGTGCATAGTTCTGAGAATTAGAGAAGAAAAAAATAATTTAAAGAGAAATCAGATGAATACTATTATAAGCAATATCCAAATCAAATGAATATTGAGGCAAGTCTGTTTTAAGTTTGGTTATTTTTTTGTCAGAGATTTTATTTTATTTTAATTTTTAGTATTTTAAAGCAGTCTATACTTTTGTAGCCACCTCACTATAGAGTCTTCTGGTCTTCTCTGATTTATACTCCATTATCCCCACCAGCATTTCTTCACATTTTAGTAATGTGAAGTTTATTAAGCAAAACCTTCCACTGTCTTAAATAGGAAGTTCAGACTGAACTTCAGGAAAAGCTTCCTGACTATACAATGTTTTGTCAATGAGATGTCATCTATCAGAGATGTATAATGAATCCTGCATTGAGCAAGGAACTGAATACAAGTGATTTCTATGGTCATTTTCAACTTTAAGTTTCTGTAACATCTTCAGTGGACCACAATTTGTTTATTCTCACATACACAGTTTTTATATAAATTGTATATGTGAAGATAAACAAATTGTGGTCCACTGAAAATTTCTTGTACAAGAATATTCCAAACAGAGATTTATAAATTCTCTCAGAAATGTCTTATGGTAAATTAAATAAAAACAAAAAAAAGCTGATGAAAAACACATAAGTCACAATGTATTTGTTGATAAAA